GGACGCCTATACAGGGATTTTCCTCTGGATTATTTTCTGTTTCGCTTCTGTTGACGTCAGGAAGGTGTTAGAGAAACCTTGTACCATAGTACCGGTAAGTCGACAGCACATGCGTCGGGGGGGGGGTGTTAGGGTAAGGGGCTCCCCCCTAGTTTTTTGCAAATATATACATATTATAGGCACTGAAAATTGGGGTTAACCTTTTTCGTTGGTTAGCCCCCCCCCCCTTTCTATTTGCCACCGACGCGTATGGACAAATTAAACAGAGGTAGATCGAGTGGGGTGGCGTGGGGGTTTAGGTGGTTGAGTGAAATATTTAATGTACTTTTGAAAAGTGGATGAAAATCATACAATATTGTATCAGGTATTACTTTCTTAAAGAAAAATCACTTTTGTAAGCAATAATAGGTGTGACGTACAGAAAGGGAGTGGCTGGGAAAGAACCTTATCTAGCTAAAAAAAAAATTCCTCAGATTGTCATTAAAGATTTTTTTTTTTTTTTTATTTATGATTTTATTTTTCTTTTATTTGAATATTGTTTTGTTTGTTTAGTTTTTTTCTGTTGTTGATGATAAATTCTCCCAATCGAGAACAGTCATGGAGAACTTGTGACTTTTGTTAAGCTTATCCGGAATGATAAAAAAATATACCCATGTGTGAATGATTACAAATCACTAGAAAAACGCTAATTATTAAACAAATCATCGCAGGGCCCCATCGAGATGATTTTGCTGAATTAGATTCAATATACTTGTTATAGTAGTAAATAAATGCAAAGTCATGCGTTTTTGTTTCAATTTAAAGAATATGAGTAAAGGAGAGGGCAAATTCATTTCGAATTTTATTAACCCCCCCCCCCCTAAAAAAAAATTAAAATAGTTAAATTGATAAAAACTGACTTTAAATAATATACTTTTTTTACAATCACATTTTGATAGGTAGGAAAGACACAAAGAAGTAAAATTCCCACAGAATGGTGTGTTTTATTGTTTCCTTTTATTTTTATGGAGTGGCAAAAACGGGAAGCACGGGCCCTTGACACCAATTAAAAGGACTCAGTAGATTCTGCGAATTTAGGAATTGACGCATGTGACGTAAACTTCTCTAAATATGAATTATAATGATACATTTTTTTGATTTTTTTCTTTTTTGAGGAAATCATTGTTTGTTTTTGAGAACATATGCTGAGTATTGTAACACGCAGAGATATCAACAGAGATTGATATCTGAAGATACATTCCACGAAAAAGATTGATTTAATTAGTGTAACAAATAACGATAAAAAATAAAAATTCTAACATCTAAACAAAGAAAGCCATTTGAATTTTTTCTTAAATGGTAAAGACTGACTGAATTCAAAATGATATAAAATCAAAAAAAATTGCGATATAATATTTTTGTTAAAGGAGGCTCTAAACACTAACAAAAAGTGCAACTTGGACTTGGTTAAAAAATATATCATAAGAAGATGTACATATTGGCACTATATTCATTTTCAGCATAGGGCAATTGCCTTGATTCTGCAGAAAATGTTTAAAGACAATGGACTATTCATAAACGGAGTTAACTTGCTTTGGAATAAATGACATTCAATTTCTGACTTTTACAGTAAAATTTGGTATATTACAAATTGTGTAATTACCCAATTACTTTTACACCTGAAAATTATACGGGAGCTCTCTTTTGAAAAAAATATTGATGATAACTTTGAACAAAACGGTAATAACGGGCTATTTCAAAGATCGTTTTATGTTGTCAAGGAGGGAAACGGCTACATTCCTACCCCTCAACACTCTCCATTCCAATATATTTTTCTTGACTAACCTATCCAAAAAAGCCAAAAATGTGCCATTTTCTTGATGTTTTTTTTCTTTTACAACATAAATGTGCCTTCTTTTTTCTATTTAATTTCTTAAGTTATTGAAAATTAAAAGATATATTAATTCTTGCGAATACAGTATCTAAATGAATTTTTTATGATGTCATATTTCTAAAATGACCTTTTGATCAAATGAAAATATATTTATTTGTTTGATATATATTATTCATTTTAAAGGGCCAAAGCAATTTTCATATATCGCTCTTTGGTATATTCCACAATAACTTTCGCACTTTTCAAAACATTTTATTGGTGTTGTAAAAAGGTTTTCTTTCAGAATAAACATTTTAAAAACATTTTTAAAACATTTCCTCTTCTCTTTATATATACCGGTCACGGTAGCCTTAGAGCGTTCGGGTTTAAATGTCCAAGTAAGCCATTAACTGTAAAATTAAATTTGAAGCCCTCTCTTCATAAAACTCCATTACAATCATACACTGTTAACATTTTAAAAACATTTTTAAAATGTTTTCATTTTGGAAAAAATATTTTTGAAACGTAAAAGGTATGGAAAATATCAAAGATTTTTATATCAAAAACGTTCTTGATTGAAACATGGCTTTTCCATAAATTTAATTGCATGAATACGTAAACATTTGGAAGGAACGTTGTCAAAATGTTTTTGTGATATTACAAATTGTGTAATTATTAAAGATCTTGTAAAACGTTTAAAAAACGTTCTCCATCCATTCTTTTTCTGTAAAACTTGCCTTACGTTTCTGAAAAAAATTGTAAGGAACATTTTAAAAATATTTTAAAAATTCTTAATATCGCTGTTAATAAACATTAAATTCCGGCCAAGGCAGTGAAAATGTTTAACAAAATAATTATTTTCACTAGAAACATTTTAATTATAGGTTTTGTAAAATTTTTGGAAACATTTTCAAAATGTTTCTGAAACATTAATGTAATTGCAGCACAATTTAATTCATTTATTAACTTTAAGAGTATGTTGTGAGAATAATTTTAGAACATTCAATTTCATGACGTGTTTATCTTTTTTAAAGACTTCATTTTTCATTGCTGCAACATTTTTTAATGTTATTTTCAAAATGTTCTTAAAACATTCAAATAATGTATGATTGCAAAATTTATAAAGTATATAGGACAAGTTTTGAAATGTTAAATTTTTTAAAATTGAAAGATTTTTTTTCAGTTTTGGCTTATGATTAAACAGACATATATAAAGTCCTTTAATTAAAACAAATCAAAAAATAAATAAATGAAAGGATAGGCAAACACAAAATTTAAAATATAAATATATGTAAAAAAAAAATCATAAGCATTTGATAAAAATCTTAATGTTTTTTTTAAATGTTCTCTGTGATCCACTTCCAGGTTTTTACTCTGAGGCATTAAATAGGGATTGGCACACTGGTCAGTTTCAGTGCCATGATAACCTATTTTTCCTGTAGCGCGTAAAGGATTGTATATATTTTGAATTCTGGTAAAGAAGATGTGCGCGCTTACTCCGTGCCGATTTGAATGGCCTTTGCACCATAAAAACAATAATACATTTTTAACTTTGAATGACAATTATTCCTTTATCATACTTTAAAAGATTTTAAAAATAATACTAATATTTAACTTTGTACAGCATTAAGCAATGATTATTATTATACAATGTATTTGATATATATTTCATTCTGAAGTCAACACAATTATACACAACACAATATATCACAAGTATTCACTTTGTGAAATGTTTTAAAATCATCAAACAATATGTTGATTTGAAAATGAAATTTCTTTACAGCATGGTTTTTGCATCATCCGTATTTTCAAATTCCCAAAAAAGCCAAAAATATGTACTATTACTCTTCAATAATATTGTCATAGTAGTTATTTTTCTGTTTTTTTCAATGCAAATGAGGAAAGAACTTAAATTTGATATAATTAAAATATTTTTTGTATATTTTCATTGTTCATCTTAAAGATACATTAGATGAAGAACGCTGATACAAACACAATTTTTCTGTCACTTTGTTGTTTACAGGTTGTGCTATTCTTTCCGTATTGAATCATTCTTTTCAGTGTATGTGATTCATATTTATGGTAAAAATATAAATAGCTTGATTCTGTTCTTTTAAAATTCAGTGAATGGATTAGACGCTTTTCACCATAAAAACCCGGTATTAAATTAAAACTTGTAAAAAAAACATATTGAATATGGGTTTGTAATAAAGGTTCAAAAATTAAATATAATTTGTGTTTATTTCTTTTAAAATGTAAATATATCAATACTTAATGAGATACGTAAAATTTCAGTAAAAATACTTTTTAACCTCGACGTGAATGTTTTGAAAACGTTTTAAAAACCAAACAAATTAAACGTGATAAAAACATTTTTGAAAATGTTTATTTTACATTTTATAACAATGTTATGATAACATTTGTTGAAATATTTTGTAAAACGTTTTAAAAACATAAAAAACCATATCACGTGATTACAACATTGTTCAAAAATGTTTTCAAATTTTAAGAAAATGTTCTTTGCTGATATATAAAATGTTTTAAAAACGTTTAAAAAACCATACAAATTCACGTGATTAAAACATTATTGAAAATGTTTTTGCAACATTTTAAGAAAATGTTCTGACAACATTTTGCTGAAATATTTTGCTAAAATGTTTTAAAAACGTTTAAAAAACCATACAAAATCACGTGATTAAAACATTTTTAAAAATGTTTTCGCAACATTTTGAAAATGTTTTAAAAACGTTTTAAAAATGTTTTTGTGTTAGCCATATAGCGGGTGTTCTTGGTGTTTTTCCCTGCGCAAATGCATGCCAATAATTTTGGCAAAATTTATTTCAGCGGACACAATGTTTCAGTTATTTGCAATTGAACACTAAGAAGATAGAACACTTAACTATTTTAGCGATTAAAATTTTAGCGGACTACCATCAAAACGCCAAAATAAGCTAAAATTAGCACCCCGCTAAAATAACCCGCTATACGGTATTACTTTTGACTAGACCTTTCTTGTGTCATAAAAATTAAAAAGATTTAGAGTTCACTTTCATTGAATCAGCTTAATCTCATTCACTGGAACTCTTGAAGAGGAACCGGAATGACTCATTCTAGCTCTTCATCTTTATTATACGATTCTTTGTAAATTTGCGGACCTGAGCGGCCAACAGGTGTTGGGGAGTGGCGATGTTACCCAACCTGTATGAAATGCAACCAAGACAGTCAAGATTCAGCTTTCCACTCTTTATTAAATTAAACAATCTATTTGTAATCGTTATGATTACAATATATAATTTCTTACAATATACTAAACATCATACTAAACATTACTAGTTCTAATATAAAAAAAAATGTAACCTGTAAACAAATTAAGCCATTTGAAAATTTTAATAATTTGACGAAAACCGCACAAGTCTAGAAAATTATCTCGCCTGTATGAAATGCAACCAAGACAGTCAAGATTCAACTTTCCACTGAAATCTTGTCTATCCTGGCCGTTCATTTCATACTAGGTTTACGTTTGTAGATTTACATCTCCATATTTGTATCCCCTCCGAAATTTGCAATAATTACTTTAAATTATGATTTGAATTTTAATTACTATTATTATGACCTTGAATATTTTTTAAACTTTTAATGCACTTTTAAAATAATTTCCCATCTTTTGCATAATCTTCAAATATTATTTTCCGTAGTTAATTTATCCAAACACCTGAACTCTAGTCACTTCAATCTCATTGGTTGCTTCTTCCACCTAACCAAATACATCTTCCGATAAACAAGTAAACAACCGCATTGTCATGAATCGCATGTTCTGGGAATCGCTCAGGTTAAAAGGTCACCCTATTGTGGCCAGAATCTTTGTTTATTCTTAGGTCTTTAGAGCTCGCGTTATCTCTCTTCGCTGAAGAGTGCAAATACACAAAAAAAGTGTTACATTCTTATTTTACTGCAATTTGTATCCAAAATTATTTATCTCTAAACCTTAAATTTGACTTACATTTGAGAAGGGTTTTTGCTATATGAGGGAAAAAGTTACAACAGCTTTATGACTTTTCTTAAGTTTACCCGTATTGTTAAAAAATTCTAAATGTGAGTGTGAAATACTAGGGAACACACCACATGTATTAGTTTAACAAATCATCGCAGGGCCTCAGATGATTTTGTTAAGTTAGATATAGTGTGCTTTTAAAAAGTAAATAAATATACTCAGTATACAAGTCACTAGCTGTGTTTCAATATAAAAATATAAATTAAGGGAAAAGCAAAATTTATTATGATTTTTTTTTCAAACAAAACTGGCTAATTGATAAAAATTTAGATTAAAGAAAATTTCTTACTAATCATTATCTACCTATTTAGAGAATAGAGAGAATAGTAGAATTTCCTCGTAGTGTTTTGTTGTTTCATTTTATTTTAATGGAGTGCATGGCAGCGACGGGAAACACACACTTGACACCAATAAAAAGTTAATTACCACACATTACGTATATTTCACTAAGTGTGATTTATAATGATATGCTTCGGAGTTTTTGGTTTTTTCTCGGGAATTTTTTTATCGAGTTTTAAGAATATACACTGATTTTTGTAAAGTGTTGTTTTATCAGATGAAATTGATATCTGAAGAAATATTCTAGGAGAAAATATATTAATTTGATGATTATAACAAATAACGATAAAAAAAATGATAGTAACAATCAAACAAAGAAAACCATTTGAGAGTTTGATAAAAAACAAATTTAAAGACAAACCAAATTCAAAATAAAATAGCACATTGAAAAATACAAAAGGAAATATTTTGCAATTTTTTTTTTCATTTAATAACAGATTTCATTTGCTTTAGTACTTCATAGTTTTCTTTACATACGTGTAAATGAGGTAGTAATATTATTTTAAGAATTTTCATAAACTGTCTTATTGAACTCCAACCCACATTCCCTCTCATTCAAATCAAAAGATTAATTAATTTTTTAAATAGTAAAACTTAAAGGCCATGGTAAAACTTTTCGCAATTTTGGTAACCGATGGAAGAAACTGCCACAAGGAAAATTCATTTTAAGTATGATTTCCCAAGTATCAAGTATTCAGAAGTTAATGCGAAGATTTGGTAAAATTTTGCAAAAGTGGGCCAAATTCGAAAATCAAAATGTCAAATATGTTTGCCCCAAAAATTATAGTTTGACTTTTGTTAGGAAAATTTGTTGCTGGGTTTTTATATTTCACAGGTGTATAAACTTAGCCATGAACTCCCTTTGGGTAACTACATCTTTATCCCTTGCCCTTGTATTTTCACTTGAATTTTAGAGAAGTCGTATTTGTATAATAAATAGAGTATAAGAGTGTCAATATATATGCATTTGTACATAAAAGTGAAAACTTTCTAATCCGACAACTGTCTAATCCGACACACTGTTAATTACGCCATTTAATTTCGTTTCCATTTTACTGTTTTCCACGTTTCCTAACACTGTGTAGTCCTACATTCTTAATTTCTATTCCGACACAAAATTTTCGTCTTCCAGTGCATGTCGGATTAGAGAGGTTTCGCTGTATATTTATTAATATTTAACGTTAACATTTTAATTATATCACTGCCTTGTCATTTTTTATTATAATTTATATTTATTATATAAAAATTCTTTTCATTCATTTCCAAAAATCATTTCTTTTTTCGTGTGTTTCAGTCTGGAGAAAAATGTCGAGCGATTCTGTATAGAGGTATGAACTCTCTCTCTCTCTGTCTCTCTCTCTCTCTCTCTCTCTCTCTCTACAACCTCATAAAGAAAGCTGTGAAAATGAGACAATCGCAGATCTATTGTTTTAAAACTTTTTATATATAAATTTCTAAATCTATTAAAGAATGCTGCAAAACCAGAAAACTTGCAATGAACATGAATTTGTTTTAAATTGAGAAAAAAGGTTTCTGGCTTACATGTAAAATATATACATGTAATATTTTAACTCTCATTCGAGTTATCCTCTCAGGATTAATATTTATCTTAAGTAAGAGCGCGGGGACAAACATTTTTAACATGTCAAATAGCATTAAGAAGACAAATATGGAGTTAAAGAACAGCATTCAAGATAAAAGGTTCGACAAACAATACAAAATAAGAGCAGAGCAAACACGAACTTCCGAAACGTCAGATGTGGGACCATGTGTCACGGAGGAGTGAGCATCCCCTGCTGGCCGGTCACACCCGCCGTGTGCTCCATGTCATGACCGGGAAATATCAGAAAAAATCCGTCGTCAATTCAGTATGCTAATTTATTCATTCATGCATTCATTTATCTTACTTATTTTGTTCATTTCAGAGATTAGAATAAAACATACAACAAATTAATAGGTTATAAGAAAATCGAGATATATATGTAATGTAATGAGAAGAAATGAATCACATAATATTTACGTATCTTTTGAATATGAAATGGTTTTAAACACTTTGGTGGGAGCTGTGAGATTAAGCTACCCAAAGAATCTGTTATAGACTGCAAAAGACGTCACTATGTTTTCAATTTAGTTTCCTAAACTCGATTTCCTCCGTTTGAGTAAGGACTGTCAGTGTTTGTTTTCCTAAGAGGACTAAGAAAAGGTCGTCCTCCGGAAGGCCGCTGACTCAATGTTATAAATTGTATTTGCTAATTAGGTCATTGTATCGGCCATAGAACTAAGAATACGAAATTATGACTTTAAACGAGACTGCTGATATTCTTTTTTCATCAACTTGTTTGCCAATAATTAACTTCGTTTTAGAAATTGAACTTACGTAGAACATGCTCTTGCACTAATAGATATAAACTCCATAATATGCAAGTGATGAAGGTATATTGCTGCATAAAGTAAAAGTCATCACGTTTTTTTATAGAGCTTGGTTGTTAGATTACCATTAACGTCTTGTCAAGTAAAATATCTAAATATGAAAGAGATGTGTCAGACTCAGTGATATCTTTTGTCTTCAACTTACTGGGATGAATCGTATCGACTGAAGAATGGAATTAACTATTGGTAATTGACAATACATCGTCGATATATCTAAATGTTGAGTTGAAGGCCACAGCAAGTGTTTTCTTCTTTCACGTATTTTTTACACTTTCATGTATTTTGTACAAAGAAATAACAAACAATGCATTATTTATATGCGAGTATATATTTATTATACATGTTAATACTTTTTATTCTATTTCATTTTTTTTTTCGGGGGAAATTGGTAAGGGTAATATGATTGATTGATACTACTTCTTTTTAGTATTTTGTAACGATAATTTAAAAAAAGCAATGTTTTTAAGTAGATTGTACGGCTCAGTTCCTTCAGAGTGAGTATCCGGGTCTTTATTACCATGGAAATACTTCAATGGCGGCTCCCGACCTCTCAATTTCAACTGTGCACAAACCTCGTCGAGGCACCACCGGAAGTCAAGTGGTACTCAGAAGTTAAAATTAGCATTCAACCGAATACAAGTAATATTTTCATAACATTTGTATTAAGAGAAAAAAGAAATCTTCATATCGGAGCTGGAGAAAATTCATATAATTTAATTAAAAAAAGAAACTTTTAAATTAATTGGAGTGGATTATTTGTCAACTTTTATTTCTCAATTAATTTATTTTCATTACCTACTTCAGAGGCATGGGTCATTAAACATGTTAAAAGTGTTGATTTCCAGGAGGAGGGTGTCAAATAAAAAAAATAGGTGAAGGAAATCAAAATATCAATACAATATGTCGTAAAACAATTTTTCTGTAATCAAAATTAAATCAAGGAACTTTTAATACCTTGTTTTGCTGGGAAAATTTGACAGAAGTGACTCTCTTCGGGTCAAATTTGTAAAGAAGCAAAAATCGTTTACAGTACTGCCAGCTACATCTCTAAACAGAGATTTGTGATCCTTAATTAATCCTCAGACTTCATATATACAATAACAAAATCCAATATATTATAGCCTCTACGGAAAGGATCAAGGGATTTGAGGCGTGGATCGAATCTATTGAAGGAAAGCGCTGCATTGTGTTGACTCTCTCTAATAATGGAACGTTATCGACTAACGATTCAATGGTGAGTTTATATGTTACTCTCTCTAATATTTAAACTTTATGGACTAAAAGTTCAATGATGAGTTTATTATTATCTCTGATCATGGCTGGTTACAATACAATGGTTAGTTAATAGGTCACTCTCTCTTATATTTAAACATTATCGCCTAACAATACAATGGTTAGTTTATAGGCCATGTACTCTCTCTAATCAGGTTGGGACCAATCGCCCAAATGGGATATAATAGTCCGTTTGGGATATAATATCCCAAATGGGCTATAAATTTACAGTGCAAAAATTGAAATATATTATTTTGGTAATAAATATCATAAATCCGCATCAAATCACTTAAAATGGAATAACTTTTGGTAAGCAAGTTTTTCTGCAACCCTTACCGTTTGTTAGATTGATCCCCAAGAAGTTAAGGAACTTCGGAGGGATCAATCTCCTAAACAATGGGCATACAGGAAAACTTGTCAACCAAAAGTTATTCCTTTTTAAGTGTCCTGATGCGGATTTATAATATTTATATCCAAAATAAAAATTGTCATTTTTTGCACTGTAAATTTATAGCCCATTTGGGATATTATATCCCAAACGGACTATTATATCCCATTTGGACGATTGGTTCCAACCTATCTAATAATAAAAAGTTATCGACTAACGACACAAGTGTTGTTTTATAGGCCACTCTCTCTCTAATCATAGAATGTTATCGTCTAACAATTTAATGACGAGTTTACCGGTCATTCTCACTGAAAGCAAGCATTCTGAGAATATTGCATAAACAATATATGTCCACTACCGGGTTCCATCATTTTGTTTAGTATTCAAGCCAATCGCAACTTCTCGGACCTTTCCGACTAGCGGAAAAACGACCTCGAATGTATATGGTAGACGCCATTACAACCCTCCCTTTAATAACCCTGAAATAAATGCATAGAGACCTTTTATCTGTGGAATGTGGAGTTTAACTTTAATCAATGTAATGATATTTCCTAAAATATACCATAGAAGGGACTTCTAACTCACTCTATCCTATGTTTGAATAAACAGGAAATGTATAAATCTTTAACATCCGCCATGATCCGGTGATGTTAATACATTCGAGGTTGTTTTCGACCTCTGACGGAAAGACCCGAGATGATGCGATTGGTATTCAAGCTCGTTTGGAACATTAATTTAGCGTATCATGAACCCGATCGTAGACACCACATTTAAAATAAATAAATAAAATTACCATAATTCCGTCAAAATCAATCATACGGATAGAATATCAAATTTGATCCGTAACTCATGAAGATAAATCTACATACCAAAAATCGGCACAATTAAGTGTTCAGAAGAAAAGTGCGAAAATTACGAGGGGCGTTCAATAGATAATGCCATCAGCTCCATGACATACAACATAGAAGTCATATGACATTAAGCTTGACGTTTTCTAATTATTGAATTTTTAATGAATTGATAACAGTTTATGTGACCACTTTTCATCGCATAATTTCATTGTGAGAAGCTGGAAAACAAGGGCTACTCGAGACACTGCGTTAAAAATGAATGGTCAAGAATCAGTGAATTAGAGTAAAATTGAACGCGTCATTAAAGCTGCTGTAAAACTTGTTAATTTCCCAAAAATATGTTAACTGAAATATGTGAAATTTACAGCAACTTATGTCTGTTTCATACACACATGAACAGGTGGATTTCAATTAACAAAAATTATATAATGGTCATCAAAAATGGGTACCCTCCTTGTCAACAAGGACATACAACAACCAATGTATATTAGCGATATTTCAACAAATTATCACAGATTATGTTTTATTGACTTTAAGTTACATAGCAAATTTGATAGACATCATATCGGGGGTAGTTCAAACTGTTTTAAAGAAACTTTTGATTGTAAAAAAGTTTAATACTCAAATGTCACTCTATATTTATAAATATGAGTGAAAACGAGAGCGTGTAGAAAAACTAAACAATTATTTTTAAAAAATCAAAAATTGTTCTTATCTACGTTTTTCTGAAATTTGAACAGATCATGAACACCCCTACTAATGTTATTGTGATTTAAATTCAAGACACGTGGTTTAGGTTGATCTATTTAAAGGTTATAGGGTAGAACCGGTTTTATAAATAAAATTGGCAGTAAACATGATATTGCTATAGCCTGTTTCTTTTGAAAACATTTCCTGTAATAAATGTTTCCAGACCTTTCTGATAGACTTTCATGATTTTCAACTGATTAAGGGGGGCTAAAGTGGGGGGTGTTAAAATAACAATATATCTTATACTTTTCGGTGAAAATTAAAGCTCACTAGTGAGCGATTCGCTGGTAAGAAATGTGCATTATCATCTACACTGACAAACCTTTGTTTGCCTTATATGGCTATTGTTATAAATGCGCACAGAGGATCTTACCACGAGCAACTGACAAATCGTTGAATGAATAGCAACGTTTACGCCAAATACATACTTACATTTTACTTCGAACACGTAGTTTAGGTCAATCTACGATCATGTTAATGGACTGCAAAATTAAAAAAAAATGTTCTTACGAACAAAATACAAAGATAAGAAACTATGAAAGATGTTAAGGGCGTTTTTAATTTGTTGTTAAAAATAAAAAAATGTTTAATAAAATGTAGTTTGTGTCTAGTTTAGAACACCAGCGCTTCAAGGGTAAGGAAAACGAGCAGCATCTTCTATGCATTTAAATGGACAAAACTTTGATTACGTTCGTGATCACGTGTTCGGCGAGGGAATTGACCTGGCAATTGTATTCACAGATAGTACAAGAAAGGAATTAAAACAGACGCAAATCGCTTTTGCAGTATGACTTTCAGAAACCTAGACTTCCGCCGTTTATTTAACAAATGAATTGTTTGCCATTATAGGCATGAAAATAATATCTTTTTTTTCAAGCGTAAAATTCCTGTAGTATTCGTAGTAACCCATAATGCAATACTCATTCAGCTGATTGGTCATTAAAATCATGCTGGTGCCTCATTTGCTAATCTGACGCCAAAAAATATAGTCCCGGTTCCCATGCAAAAAATATTTGTCCAAAAAGAAATTTTAATTTATGACTGTAGAAAATTGTATTATAGAGAATACTTATGTAAGTTTGAATTAATTTAAAAGAGATCGATTGATTGAAGTACATTTCTACATAAATTATCAGCTGATTCTAGGGTAGTGAAAACTGAAATGCAATATAACTTTTCTGTTTACCATGCCTCCACGTGCTAGTCACTTCCTAACCACATTTCCGTGTATAATTTACCCTATCTCGCTGAAGTCTCGCTAACTCTCGCCAGAGCCACTGCCAGAGCTACTCTGAACTCATCGGGTTTTATAATTTGCAGAACACCGAAAAATAAAAGGTTCCGAACACATTAGTAGGGGTGATGAAACTTGAATCCATTTTGCGTTAAACACTCAGAACAAATTTAGAATATGATGCACTTGACAAAACTGCAAAGGCCTAAGAAGAGCAAAAATTTGCAAGAACACAAAACAGTTTTATACGCTATTTTCTTAAATATTAGCGGTCTTGTTGTTCAAATACATATATAGGGAGGCGGTTCAATGTCTGGAGGAGTCTAGTAAGCAAAATATTTGCCAAAAAATTGAAAGGTTTATGAGAGGAAGGAAACAGAATGAGGAATTCACTACATTAAATTTCTTCCTGACAGTGTCCAAACCCACAGGCCATGAAGAGTAAAGGAGTTTTGGGGTAAACAGAAAGTTAATGTTTTGTCACATCAACAATATTCCCCAGATCTTTCAATCTTTGACTTGTTTCATTTCCCAAACTTAGGAAAACACCTTTCAGAGAGAAAAAAACAAGCACAGCAAATCATAGGATCTGCCATTTTCCAGTATACGAAGGGTCATACTCAAAACTGTGTTCTAAAAACAATTAGAAATTGAATGAAAATGTTACGGACATGTCTTTTAATTAAAAGAGAATATTTTAGTTAAATCATTAAGACAAAATCCTAGAAAAGCGATTTTTGTTTCTTTCTTAGCCCTAATGACATTATTTATTGAACGCCCCTCGTAACCAAGTGTGACAGACGTACAGATAGCTAGACAGACGGACGGACAGAAACAAAGGAAATCTAATAGTAAAGCAATAAATAAATAACCAATTTTTAAAGGTTGAAAGCTTATTTATAGGAATTGCCAAAGGTAATTTTAATTTAGTGTCATATTTCCATTATCAGAGAGAATTTGAAGTCTCGCTGAAACTAAGAATGTCCGCCAACATCACCGTTTGGCAGCTTCCAAGATCAACATCTTCTTCTCCAACCAGAGGCTTGATCCGCGCCGGAATAAACCAAGGTAAAGTACAATTCCAATGTCACGGGCTACTTCTAGCTAAAAGCTTGCTTCATGCCATTAAGATAAAAAGAACTATTACTGGAAGAATGGATAAGGGAAACTAAAACTATTTATGTCTTTAAAACAAATAGATTAATAAAGATGAGAAGATAGAACCTTATCCTTGTACATTAAATGGTATTCAAAGTCTAAGACAGATCAGTGCAAGAAAGACATCGCCCCTAACGCCTTATTTGGCAACATTTCAAACTGTCTCTAATGTTCTTGGCAAACCTGTTAAAGTAGACGATAATTCCTTTAATAAATTTATTTTAAGGCATCCCACCCGAAAACTCCTCCTTGTGGAATACTGAGATCATATTCCGAAACAATTCACTTGACCGAATTGTCGAGGTTCAGTTTCAGTCAGCTCCAGAGAGTTATGGAATTAAGTATTACAACATTAAACTCCGGCGAGTGACACCACTGAACACCATGGGTGCCAGTTATCGCACCACCACCCACTCCTGGATGGAATACGTCCGTTTCCCATGGGTAAGTAAAGTGAAACAAATCAGATCTACGAGGGGCATTTCAAAAGTTCCCTGGCAACTGTTTAATAAAAAATTAACCGTTTTACGAGAGTTTGATATCATTGGAAAGATCAGAAAAATATACACACATTGAGACGTCACGTTATAAATTTTAGGACATAATAACTCCGAAAATGACGTCAGAATGTAGCATGTTTAGCATACTGAAAAGTCGCGTTTTTTATCCACATGAGACAATCGTAAACGTGCTGCCAAAGGCTTATTTGAAAAAAATATTTCAAACAAAATTTTAATTTGCAAAGAGGTAGAGTAAGACTATGATACTGTTTATCAGGAATTCCATTATTCACTGTATGGTTTGTTTACGAGCACAGTTTATATCCGGTTATGCTATCATCGATATTCATTTAAGATTTTTATTTCCATGATACAGCTGAATTTTCGGTCTTTTATGTAGCTCTCCATTGTTTGAAATAAAACATGTCCTATATTAAACTGAAGTATAGGCCCTATTAATGTAGTTTTCATCCAATATATTTTGAGCAACAGGACTCTTCCCGTTTACGACTAAATCTTGATCCTAGCTTGTTTCCGTGTGTATTTTTTCATATTAATTCAACTTGGGCGCCCCGAAACTCACTACTGCTTTTGTCTTTTGAATCCAAAAAATGAATATAAGTTCCACAGACGTGTAAAATCTTATTTGTTTTCCATGCATGAAAATTTGCGAATATGTGGAGGTACGGTGGGGTTATAACTGCGCCGCCGCCATTTTTGATTTTACGAGAAAATATGGGGCACACTAAACTGAACTCTAGAGCCTTCATCGATCCCACAAATCTGGTTAAAACACCTGACGAATTTATGCCCTTGAATTTTGTAACACGATCGCCTATTTTTCTTTGATTGTTAACTTTGTCTTTTTATCACAGTTAGGCCTCTTTTACGCAAAAGTTTGAGCAATATTGGAAAAAATCATGCAATGTTTGACACTCGTTAAAACCATTTCAGAACAAGGAAATCTCCAAAATAGAACACCATATGATAAATTGTAGTCTATGTAAACATTCCACCAACTGGCATTTGCGCCCGTTAGCTTGCGTCCGAGTAATGAGCAAAAGTTGTCCTAAGAATTTTAATTTAATCAAATTGTGTCTTTGGTTACGTCCTTTTTACGGTGTGCCAAACATTCTATATTCTGACGTCATTTTCGGAGTTATTACGTCATAACAATTGTAACGTGGCGTCACAATATGTGTATATTGTTCTGATCTTTCCAATGATATCAAACTCAATAATTTCCGTAAAACGGTTAATTTTTTATTAAACAGTTGCGAGAACTTTTGAAATGTCTCTCGTAAAACAGCAAAAAGACACATTTTTACGATTGAAAAACTTTTCTTCGAGGAAATTGCCTTCTGTGGCACTGAAGACATTTATTAGATTATAAATGAATTGTTTCAAAAATTCATTACTTGCATTGCGTTCTCTTAAGGTGGCTCATTACATCCACAGTTTATTTTAGATTTCATTTAAGCACCACTTATAATGTAGATGTCAAATATCCAGATAGAGGTATTGATATCATAAATATTTTTCAGAGATTTTTTTAGCTTTTGTCTAATTTTAGTGAAATGTTTTATTTCAAGTTAATTATTACCAGAATTTCAAAACTTTTAGTGTCAAATGATGGGTATCTTCTTTAGACAAGTACACACAGTGAAAATGCCTCATTATACCTGATATCAATTTTATTAGAAAAAAAAAATTCTCCTAAAAAACAATTGATGTCATTATCTTTTTAATATGTGCATAAAACATTAAGAAAATGAGTTCTGAAGAGACAAAGAATGTATTTCAATGAATTACATGTGACAAATTCAATGAAGAATGTTTAAACGAAATGAAAATTCCAATTTAAAAAATATTTGGTATAAAAAGTCCACTTTCAAGAGTTATCTTTCCTAATTACCCAAGACTCAAAACACAAAGGAACGTTTGAACACATCGTCTCAAGCCACGGTCCGGAGTCCGCATATAGCTCTCTCCTACCCATGGCTGCTTGATCACAAAAAGTGTCGTAATCTTGAATATTTACGCCTCTCTATTGTGACGTCATATTCAGTCAGTGGCAAGTTTTGTTTCAACTGACGTCAACAGTATACAAGAAATGTTTCCTATACTGCGATTGGATATTGAAAGGTCGCGACAAAGTTCATAATCCGACTATGCTTTACTCGCATTGGTCAATATTTTAATGAGCTACGAAGAATTCTCTCGTCGTTCAACCACGACCAGATGGGAGAGGAGCGTACATTTTGGCCGTGGTTTGCGACAATGGTTTGAACATTACATCTAAATTTCAGAACAAAGCATTAAATTGCCAGTGTATATACTTAAATTAATAAAGCAAATATATAAATTAACACCAATACAGTGAATAGAGCAAGTAAATAACTATTTTAATTTCAACAAGGTTGTTGATTTCAACTCGAATTTCCTCCATACAAACATGTCATTGATTGATAGAGCTCACTGCATTCATCGCTATGAAATTGCACATTACTTGTTTGGCGAAGATTTGACTGTTGTTTTCTTTTGTTTCTGTTTAAAACAATCCTTCTTGGTTAATGCATAATGAACTTTGTTTTCACTGTTTACAACACCGCATATTTCATCTATTGTTAAAGCGTTTTAAAGGTCAGGGTCATATTATAGAGGTACCTGTACAATTCGTCCCCAGAGGAAAACTGTCGAAACAAAGGAGGTTTATTTTTTTGTGTAGTACGTCATCAAAAAGTGATGTAATGAGCCTCCTTAAAGGTACTTGGAAACAGATTTGAAGTTAATATTTTCTGTATAATATCACGAATTATATATTTTAATAACATTTCACACAAAAATTAATTAAAAATCTTATTTCATTTAAAAGTTATTAAAACTTTTAATTTTTTGGCGGGTTTGATTGACACATCCTTGCACTTTCACAAATCTTAACTTTATTCTTAATCCTTAGGAAAAGTGGGAATCCTGGTGTGCATTAATGAGAAATAATATGTTTTACGGTGTGACCGTTGGGGCGAGCGCAGTTATACCATCAAAAACACTGAAAAAAATATCAACAACTTCATACATCAAGCCGCACGAGACATCTCGACTAGCTGTGACGTTACACGACGTCACGGAGCTCGCCGGAGCTTACGGAGACAGCCGAGCGTCTGTTTGAAGCTATAGACCTAGTGCAATTTTGGTCGAAAAACATTGCAGAGTTATTTTTTGTTTCTTTGAATGATTTTTACAAACTGAAACCCTCTTATGCTTTTACGTTATTATTTATTTATTTATTTGCGCAAAGGACATTGGGTAGTGCAGGAATTCTGGGATGTTTCACAGAGAAATTTGGCAGACGTATGTACAGATTTCAATCCGAATTTCCTCTGTTCTTACACGTTAGTCTATTGAGCTCGCTTTACGAGCGTCGCTTCGCGACGCTCGCTGCGCTCACTGTTAAAACTTAAATCAAGAAGAATTTTATTCAGAGTTGAAATGTTAGAAAGCAGAACTACTTCACAAGTATCGTAATTCCGCTGTGTACAGAGATTTGCGAATCGATCACACTCGTGTTATGTACACAGGTTTTCGTAAACATGTTATTGTTTGATGTTTACGATTCCTCGGGTGCGTTAAATCGCCAAAGTCTGTTCACCACAACTGCACGGACTGACAATATATTGTGTGTTTGTTTTGCTTTAGAACATGTCTACTCTGAATTTTCTGGATTATAGTATTAATATTTTTCATTAATACACATCAGAATTGCCACTTTTCCTACGGATTAAGAATAAAGTTAAGATTTGTGAAAGTGCAAGGATGTGTCAATCAAACCCGCCATAAAATTTAAGTTTTAATAACTTTTAAATGAAATAAGATTTTTAATTATTTTTTGTGTGAAATGCTATTAAAATATATAAGTTGTAATATTATAGAAAAAATATTAACTTCAAATATGTGTCCAAGTACCTTCAAGATCTTTCTTTCATATTCATCTTTAATGCACATCAAGAACATAAATCTTTTAAGTTTTATCTTCTTTTTTTCTTCAAAGGTGTACGCCAAATTTGAAGATGTGAAACCGGGAACCTACGATATAATGGTTGGTATAATTTTGTATAGATCGGTACGATGAAGTAAATGTAACAAGGCAAAGAAAGAGTTGATATTTAAGGAATGTTTTTAAGTTTTGTGTGAGTTATTGGTGTGTGAATTACACAGATTTGTCACGTAGGCATATTTCGCGCTTCATGAAAAATATGCCTACGTGCAAGTCTGTGTGATTCTCACACCATTAATTCACAGTAAACTTAAAAACATTCCTTATATTTACATTTTACATGTTTGGTGGCACCAAAAATATACTCAATATTTGAATTTCTCGCTGCCCTCGCTGCCCTATATTGTTATACTTTTACTAACGTCGCTGTAGCCCTATTGTGACGTCACGGTAAAGCACGTTTCTCCGTGTGTATTTCTACGCGTAAGTATACAAAAAAATGATTTTCAAATCAATTGGCTTAGTAGAAAAACACAGCGAATGTAAATATAGTGAGTTGAAAGTTTGAATTTTAATGAGGAACTGTAAAATATAAAGTAAATATTGGTACATAGAAATTAGATAGATTAAAAGCGTTTTATGATAAGGGGAGGTTGGGTATTACATATATGTCTGAATATGTTGTTTGGGTATATTAGTCGGAAAATCCTGTCCTTGTTAAGCACCCGAGGAGTAATTTCGAAATTGTTATATTTCATCATTGACTACAGGTGTATTAAAAGATTTAGTGAAAAGGTTAAATGAAAGGCGTAAGTGGAAATACAATTTGAATTGAGATTTGGTGAAAGAAAAAAAAAGAAGTGGTGTAAAAATTGTATAGAAGGACTAAGATCCAGGATTTCATCTTACCATAACTGGAAATTTTTGCTGTAGATAAAATTTTAGCAAATTTGCAAGTCCATTGCATTCGCAAAAATATTTTTCTTAAAAATAATTCAACAGTAAGAAAATGTAAACAAAGTAGTGGTCATTCGCAAAATTTTGAAACGTAAAAAATATAATCAACAGCATTTTGACCCAGATTCGCAAAATAAAATTGACGTAAAAATTTCCAAATTTACGGTATGAGGCCTACATACATGACACGTACATCTTCAATTTGATGACAATAATTTTTTTATCATTCATCATTTTTTTTACATGAATGAATCTATTCATGAATGAGTTAATGTGCTAAAATGTCTATTTATTTATATTTTATTATTATTAAGCTTACTTATTTTGCTTTGAACATAGTCTGAAATAAAAGTGATTCAAATATATAACCTTCCAGTTTGAATATCTTGACGTGCTTTCCTTGCATGGACGCTTTTAAGGTTTGTTTGCGGCCGATTTGATGCTTTGTATAAATTTTACTTGTTATAAAACTGTTTATGTTTCGAATCGCACAAACTCCTACATCTACACGTGTCCTCGGTATGAAGTCTTAATTAAGTAGGTTTGAGGTGGCGCAGCAAACGAGAATCGCTTCAGTGGGTTTCGGGCATTATGCGAAAAAGAAAACACGCAAGAATTCGATTTCTATGATTGATAGATCGGTATGAAATAATTTGCTACCTGTTGTTTATTATATGAAGCTTTTGTTTGACCGGTAGGTGGAGCCTTATGATGACCTCAAGGCAGGCGGAAGTAACTTGTGTCGCTGCAAGAAGTCCTCCAAGTGTTACCCGTGTAGGGATACATTGAGCCCGAAGTTTATCATTACAGAAAGTAAGAATTTATAGAAGTGTTCCCCATGCAAGTGTACATTTAGCCCGAAGTTTACCATTACAGAAAGTAAGGATTTATAGAAGTGTTACCCGTGTAAGGGTACATTGAGCCCGATGTTTACCATTACAGAAAGTAAAAATTTCCCGTGTAAGGGTCTCTACACAGAGTTGTCATTACGAAAATAAGCTACAACACCTCTGTCAACCGCTAAATGCCAAGATTCTTGGCAAAACTTACTTTCACCTATTGCATCATAAATTATGAATGTAAAACGTCTATATTCTTCTTGAACATGTTAAATAAAAGTTAATTTATGAGAATTAGAATCAGATATCGCTTTTTCACCATATCCTATAAAGGATTATTTCTCGGCAGAATATTACGAATGTAGAAAATTTAAAATTCATTGCCGATAAATATCAACATGATTTAGTTTTTATAGACAAACAACTTGCAGCATTAACACATATATAGAAATGTAAATGTGTTAATCTTCTTGTGGACGATTTTAAACAAAAAAATCACGCCCCTCCGCTTCCGTACTACTTTTCAGACGTTGACAGAGGTATAAGTGGAACGATAACTCTTAGTAGAGATTGTAAAAATTTATGAAGTGTTACCTCTGTAAGTGTATATTGAGCCCGAGGTTTATCATTACAGAAAGTAAGGATTTATAGAAGTGTTACCCGTGTAAGGGTATATTGAGCCCGAAGTTTACCATTACAGAAAGTAAGGATTTATAGAAGTGTTACCCGTGTAAGGGTATATTGAGCCCGAAGTTTATCATTACAGAAAGTAAGGATTTATAGAAGTGTTACCCGTGTAAGGGTACCTATGTGACCTATAGGCTAGATTGTTAATGTTAGGAACAGTCGATATCTTTCAGTACTTATTAAAGTATAGGGTAGAATAAGTGAGGTAATGGTAATAGATGAACTATTTATACAAGCCAAAATTTTAAAGGCTTATTAATGGTTAGATCTAAAGTTCTGCAATTCTAAAATATTTCCAAATAATTTAAATCTCAATCGTCTGTCCTTCCGTCAAAAAACTTTAACCTTAATGTTTGTAACTTTTGATTAAACTTTTGATTACGTAGAGCCATGACTTTCATATTTTACACATGTGTAATCCTTTTGTCAAGACCTTTCTTTGGATACCACAAAATTTGTCCTTATGACCTAAATTTTGGAGTTTGATCCACTTTTAAGCAAAAATTCCAAACTTTTTCTTTGGTCATAACTTTTGAATGGTAGATACTAGGACTTTCATATTTCACAAGTGTATTCTTCATGGTAAGACTTTTCATAGGAGAACAATACCGTTGACCTTGACCTTAGAGATTTCTGTCCTTATGAAAAACTTTAACCTTGACCATGACTTTTGAATGGTAAGGTCTTGGGCTTTCATACTTAATATACGTAATCTTTGTGAAAAGATATTTCATTTGATACCAAAAACTTTGACACTTTGACCTTGGAGTTTTACCTACTTTTCAAAAACAAATCAGTCTTATCAATAACTTTTAAAGGGTTAGGGCTAAGGCTTTCTTATTTCACATATTTAATTCTTGTGACAGGACCTTTCATTGGCTACAAAACTTTAACCTTGGTAATGACTTTTGAACGGTTATGGTTAGGGTTTTCATCCTTCACATATATATTACTTGTGACAAGACATTTCTTATGAAACCAACAACTTAGACCCTTTGACCTTAGTGTTTGACCTACCTTTCAAACATTATCCATGACCATAACTTTTGAACAAGTGTTGCTAAGGATTTCGTATTTCACAATCGTATTTCTTGTGAGAAGATCTTAGTTTGGGTAATAATTTATTCAATTTGCATTTAAGTTTAAATTTCGCAATGTTGCCATCAATGTTTCACAAAAAAACATCTTCCTTATACTGAGAAGAGATAGACTTTCATATCTGACATGTGCATTACATGTGACAAAATTTTTTCCGAGCTTGCTATGACATCTGTCCCCTTGACCTTGACGATTGACCTTAATTTAAAAAATCAACTTCAGTGATAATTTCTAAATGACATATAATAGGGCTTTCATATTTCACACAATATGTCAAAAATGACATCTCACCCATATAGACACTGGAAGCAGGGGAATGGGGAAAGGGTTCTTTGAATTTGATTGTTTGAATCTACATGTATATAAGGATTGTTAACACGGAGCATCCTTAATGGAATTATTTGTTATTAGTTGTATAAGATTTTTTTTTCTCATTACTGGTCGATTTAGATAAATCTCAATGAAATTTTAGGATGCAATGTTATTAGCCAACCTTTTTTTCATTTAGCTCCATCGTATAATACTGAGACTGATATGAAAACGTTTGTTACGGTGCCCACGTTGACATTTGTGTCCTTCAGACCGTCCTCTATTTTGGATCCCAGTTTGCCCGAGGTGTCCGAGAATAACATCCAGCTGGGGAGGAATTTTGAGGAGGTTATTGAGGAGCCTGGGGGCGGATCCCAGCCCAGTGGGAAGGAGTGGGCGATCCCCGCCAGTGTCTTGTCTGTCCTAGGGATCACTCTTGGGGCTTTAGCGTCTATCTTTGCCGTGGTCAAGTTCAAAAGAAGAGGTAATTAAAACATTTTTTCATTAATTTTCTTTTGCCATCTGTGTATCTTTGAAAAAAAAAATCCTGAAATAAATCAAGCTGATCTTTAACACTCTTACATACAATAATTTTGGTTTTACAGGTCCATTTGTTGATTCAAAATCAAGCTCTGCCAATCCTGCAGGTATGTGCATTCATTAGATTGAATTGCCGTCTTACATCATCATATAACATAAAGATGACACTTTCATCCTTTTTTTCAGGTATTGAAACATCTGTGTTGATCGTCCATGACGTTAAGCACTCAGATGATGCCAAAGGTCTGATGAGTTTGATAATTAATGATCTTCATGTCGTCGCCAATACCTTGTTGTTCCCAAACAAAAGCGGTTTGATAAATAATTCGGACTCCTCCATAATTGTTCTCTGGATGAATCAGCATTCTTTTACAAAGTTTGAGAGCAGATTTCTTAAAGACAAAAATATACCTTCTTTAAGGCAGAACCATCTTCAGAGTCGCTTTGTTGTAGTTGAATCGATGAATACTGCGTATCCTATTTTGCCGCGGATTCAGTACTGGACAAAATTTGTCTTAGACACAGAGCTAGACTTATTTCTCGACTTTCTACGTAATAACGTAAACCAAGAGCCGCGGAAAAGATGGAGAACTGATCATCGGGTTATTACTGAAATAGCAGAGACACCTAAAACGTTCCCGATACCGTACAATCGAATGGACTCGAGCATCCATAGTGAATATGAAAATGAGACAGATTTTCCTTTCTTGGAAGACAAAACCCAAGAGGAATGTTCAAGTATTGCAGCTGTTACCATTGGAGAATACCACATGGGTGTACCTTTTGGATATTCAAATAAGACCACTGCCTCGTTTCCACAGTTCATTCTTTCAAATTCAGCAAACTCTAAATATTCGAATGTATTAAAAAGATGCGGAAAAAATCAAGAGATTTCACGATTGAACACAAGAGAGAACTTTATTCCTCCGGAGAATATTTCATACTATGATGCGGACGGAAGTCTTTTTTCTGAGGCAATAATGATCTTCAACGAAAGAAACATGAGGCAAACAGGAGTCTCTGAAGATCCCCTGATTGAGGAGAACTTGGGTACGCTTTGTAACTCAATGACTCATCGAAGTGGAACACCCGTCTGTTTTCAAAACATGATCGGACAGGACGACGATGAAGAGGAACCTAAAGACGAGGATAAAAATATGGAAGAAGACAGGGATGAGGAAGAAAATAGAAGCGTTGAAGAAGACAGAAGCGCTGTAGAAGACGCTATCAGTGTCGGAGGCTTGAGCTGTTGACTTTCAGAATTCAAACCTTACCTCAAAGTTTGATCCTTTCTCATGATTAACGGGATTTTACCTCAAAACATGTTTTCTATCATGAGTATCACTCAGTTTACAGTGACATGTGCTAGTTTCCTAACACCCAACATATGAGAGCTTATCTCTACAACTGGTTCTTCGCCAACCAACGTATGCAGAAAAATACGTCAATAACTGGGTCCCAGCATGTACACACCATCAAAAAAGGAGCTTACCGCAATAAAACTGTCTCTACCATTAAATATACACTTTTTGGTGAAAATGTACTTTTCAACACGTTAAGGTCGACCCAAATGCAAAACGTTTGATGAACTTCTGATTTTGATTTCCTAGTATATACGATCAAACATACGTAGTCATACTAGTTCTATTATACTACAGCTCAGGAGGCTGAATATCTGCCAAGTGATGCAGGGGTCTACGATTCGTTTCCAGGTCCAGACATGATACTATTTTTATTTCCTTTTCTATGGCAGATTTAACACTTATTCGTTGGACTTAATTAATCATCAGGGGAGTTGGGTTCAAACAAGCTTTTACTGAGTTCTACAAACGTAATTTCGCCTTATGCTAGGTCGGAGATTGTTTTTTGAATATTTGTAAACTCATGGATAAGAGCCGACACAATTCAAAAGCATCAACACCACAAAAGCAATGATAAATTGATGGAAAGTTTTAACCTACGAAATCCAGGAACCTCTTCACTACACAAACGTAGGTCAAAGCACGGTACATTTGAATAACGTGTTTTAAAAGCCAAATATAACTTTTTTTATTTTGTATTACGTAATGTTACAGATCTATACTTAATTTTGTATGTAAAGAAAGGATAAATACTTCCAGATTACGCACTTATTCCATAATCTTTGTTTAAGTAAAAATTTATGGGAAGATTATTCAACCTAGGCAACTGATCCCACATCTAATGCTATTTGTGAGATTGTAAGTGATTGTAAATGATCCCAGTTCTTTATTTTCACAATTAACATTTGATTGTTTTTGGCGAGAAACCAAGCAACAATAACATAAGGATGAGGTTTCTTTCATGTTTTGCCGTAAGATGTACATTGAAATAGCAATACCATAAATGGAAAAATCTTAGCGTTTCAACAAGTGGAATAAGCTGTATAAGAAAAGTTTAATAAGATGTACTTTTAGGGCAATATGATGATCTCAGGGGTAGAATACAGACCATGCCGGATCTTCAGGACTCATTTTTCTGCCCTTGTAATCAAAGATTCTGGGGTGTATAGTTTTTGCCCTGTCCGTCAATCTGTCTGTCTGTTTGTCCGGTAAACTTTAACCTTGTTTATAACGTTTTGAGTTGGAGAGATTAAGGCTTTCATATTTCAAAAGCGTATTGCCTGCGACAAGGCCTTTTGGATACCATCAAATTTGACGTTTAAACCTTGACCTTGAAGTTTTACCCATTCTTACGAAAAATAATCACTCTTTAAACTTCATAATCATAATTTTTGAATATTTGGTGCTAGCTAGGACTTTCATGTGTCTTCATTGTGTGTACTGTTCAATGCCCAGAGAGAGATTGAGAAATTGTAAATGCGTATGTCTTTATTCAACTTCATGCATAGGAACAATCGCTCATAGGTTTCATCATATGTCATAGTTCTCATACAATCCATAATACATCATCACATGACTGACATCATACGATTCATCATACGTTCATCATACGATTTACTGTAAAGTAAATAAACAAAATTGTACACAAAAAATTCTTGTAACACAATGCAATACCAATAAACAGAGGCAATTAGGACCAGAAAATTGGCAGTGCCAAGGCAATTCAGACTAGAAATATATGCCAGGATATATGCTATCAATATCACAAACTTAAAAAATAATACTTTAAAGTTAACATTCTATATATTACTGAGTATGCATAAAATATCTAACTTTCGAAACTGGTGTTCACAAACGGATATGAGAGTTATCGCCCTTGCAATACACAGTTTAAGCCTAATGCATTTAACACCTATCCTAAACAACAGATATGCAGACCTATCAATGAATCTTATAAATAGTTTAAGAATATTGTGTTCAATATAATAAATATATCATGTAGCTTTACATAAGAAGTAATGATTATCCAATATGCTCGACTATGTAGACCATTATCAAAGTATAAAAAATACTGATTCATAAATAAAATACAAGAAATGCATACAAATACATATGGGTGTGCTGGTGTTTGAATAATTGGCTTACCGAATAAGTAGTTTTTTCCTAATTCCAGAGATGCATTGAACAAAAGTACAGACCAGAGAACGATACCTTCCAGCGAATGTCACTGCTCGTGCAGTACTCAAGAAAATAATGTGTACTCAAAATCCATGACGTAATACACTGACAAAATGGTGCTAAAATTTGAACATGAGCAAAATGGCTATAACATTGTGATAAGATCTTTTAGTGAGTATAAACATTTTTGACCTTTATTTTAGTGTTGACCAATGTCTTTTTAATGTTCAATCTTGGCCATAACTTTTAAACAGTTAGAACTAGAGCTTCCACATTTCACAGGTATAATATATTCTTGTGACAAGACCATTCTTTTAGTACTAAAAATTTTGACCTTAACCTTTGCAGTTTGACATGCATTTGAGAAAATTCAATCCTTGCAATAAGCTGCATACGGTGGCATCGGTGTTTCAAACCACGTATTGTTTTCTTAATTTGTTTTCAGGCCAGTTGTTTTTCATGGATGAAAGCTATTTGCAGTTTTCACACATTTTTTTAAAACATTTTTATGATTTATGGTTCTTAATCATCATTATTATTTTTTTTCTAACACTTGTATATATTTCTTTTGTCAAATTTAAAACAAGTTTTGGTACTTTGTAATTCTTTTAAGTACATTTTCTTGTCTTTTTGATGAAATTTAGAATTTTGTTATTTTCAGAACAATGATTGATGTAAATTTGAATTTTGTTTTATGTTTATAATTGACTTTTATAAGCATTTGTTTTGACATTATTTGGAGTTTTTTTTCCTCAATTAAATCTTCGTAATGATAAAAGCTTTTTCTTCTGTCAATAACACTACTTCCGGTTTCTGAGTTCTATTCAGGGATCACCAGATGGCGATATGAACCAGACTTCCTGTCTTTACATTTAATTCTTTTCACTGAAAAACAATATTGAACTTAATTCTGAGTATAGGACAAAATTTACAGCTCTCCATCGGCAAGTGTTGGCGTCTTCATTTGAGTGAAAAAAATATCGAAAGTGACGTTAAACAACATACAATCAATCTACCTGCATTGATTCTTCCAATGTAAAGCAGCATTACATGATATAATCAATTTAGAGCTTTAAATTCCAAGAAATAACGAACCACATAATGTTTTTCAAACATTAAGGATTTTAATGCTGATTTAATTAAAAGTTATAATAATAATAATAGTAAAAACAAGGAGAAAATTGTAAAATTAAAATATTTTACAGTAACGCTGTAAGTATAATGGAATCGTTGGGTATATATTTATCACTGTTACTGTTAATCGTTTATAGATGTCAAGTGTAATTATACAAAGACAGTTGTGTCAGCTATACAAAAGGTCAAATGTCATAGCAAGCACAAAGAGCCTGTTTTTTGGTTACTGAGTATCGAAACATTGATCAAATAAGAGTTATACTAACCAATCGTCATTAAGTACAAGTTTTGAAGGAAACTTTTTTATTTCGGAAAGACAGTATATAAAGTATTTATTATACTGAAGGGTCGGCCAAGTGTCATCAATTTTTTCTCAATGTAATACGGTTTCACTTTAAGACCACCTGTTGTGATCAGAACTTCAAGTGTTTGTTTTAACCACCACTCAAAAATCAAGTACTTCATTTCTTCATGTAGATAAAGTACTTTATGAAAATGTTACATAACATCACTCGACAAGCATCTGCATATTCAGCCATACAAATATAAAAATGTACACTTGATTTCTTTTTTTTTTTAATTTTTTTTCTCAATATGCCATATTTATCTTTTAGAAAGTCATCTGAGCGTTCTAGAAAATAATTATATGAATTTCGTTAATTCAATTTTCAATTCGGTCTCTCGGTTATTGATAAATGCGGATTAAATCACTTAAACGGAAAGACACAATTATAATTGTGAATCTGTATGTGAGATATGATCTTCTTTTGGTAAAAATAAGTAAACATCCGGTTAAAATTGGTAAACATCCGGTGGATATAAACTTCCCTTGCTACAACAGAAAGAAAACACTGATAATTCATTGAAATCAATTTCCTAAAATATATCTAAAATTAGGTCAAAAGAGTAGACAAATGCTTGTGAAAACACCCTAAATAATTATTAACAATGTATATTAAATGGGAGAAGATTGCCCCTGTTTAGTGGGCCGACCGGGGTTTCCATTACGTAATTCTTCATGCATCATAATAAAATAAAGCGTATTTACTGTTTCAAAGCAACTTTTTTTCACATAACTAACAAAATTTAACAAAAATAAGAAATTACAGGTTGAAATGATTTAACTATGTTTTTTTTATAACTGATTTCTAAATGATTTAGCTTTTCATGAAGTGCCGAATTCACCAGGTGCCGAAATCAATTGTATTAAGTTATAAACCCAATATTTATGATAAGGGTTTATTGCTATTTACCCTAACAAACATGGTGTCGGTTTCGATTAGACATTATTATCCTTCAGAATTATACAGTCAATCTTATTGGTTTAGAGCAGGCCATGTGCATGGAGACAACTGTTATCTCCCTTCAGATGACAATGAAATAGCGTAAGCGAGCATGCAGGGTTACAACTGTGTTGTCGCCCTTTGAATAAAACTACAGTGGTTTAAGCGAGATAACTCCTATTTATAAGTACAATGGCTAAATATGCGGGATCGGTAAACAATAAATTCTAACGATGACGTCAAAGTTGTTTGTTGACATATTTTGAAAGTATGGAATAGGAGCAGAGTAGAAGAAAATAAGAGGTTTGATTACTATTTTCTTCTCTATCTAATTGATAATGGTATATTCTTCAGGATAATAAAACTATTATGGACTGTTTAGACGGGAGACATCACCAATTATCAGGTCTGAGTAGGATTGTCACCCTCGGGCGCAAGCGCCCTCGGGTGACAACCCTACTCAGACCTGATAATTGGTGATGTCTCCCTTCTAAACAGTCCATAATTGTATATTATAACACAACGACTTTGGATACGGTTATATATATATTTATTAAGTCTCTGTTGCACAATATATAGACGTTTATGCATATAAAGTTAGAACAATGTTGTCAACACTGGTACAGTCAAAAAATTATAGAGTTAGTACTTGGTATATCCACTGGAAGCCAAACTAGTACAGGGGGGCACAAAGTTCGTATAGTGGTACGTCTGAAACGTTTGTATAAAGTTCTTGTTCTCTCTCTCTCTCTCGATCTGTCCTCCGCCCGCCCAGTCTCCGAATATATATATCTTCATATTTCCAATCGTCAGATATTGGATTAATAATTAATTATTGGAAAGCTTTTAAGTCATTTATGAAATTGCTTCGATCGATTTTCTTGCAGATTTAATCAAGTATTCAATAACAATTCTGAATGTGGTCAATTAATGTTATCAAGTCATTTTCCAATACATTTAATTATTTAGATACCAATAAGGGACACTGACCACTTCGTTCAATTATGATATTTCATCAAAGCTGACCCATAATATTTCACATTAATATTTACACCAGTATTGACTACATTAAACACATTATCAGTAAATAGAAATAGAGTACATAAGAACCTAAATGGCTCTCAAGGACATATAAGGATTATTATGCCTTATACACATATGTCCTTATTAATCAAAGATACGAAACACAACAAATATTAAAAAGTTAATATATATATTAAAAAGTTAATATATAGTTTATTTATATGTACGGTATGGTCCAATTGTGTTACATTCCTCCCTCACAAGAGATGAATTAGTTTAATTCATAGTTGTTGGAATTTGAACTTGTGAATTTTTTCTTGGTTTGTAAGTATCGGCATAAGTAATTCTCCCTCGTCTTTAAAGGTACATCATGTTAAACGAGAAGTAATATAAAGAATGGTTAAATAGTTACAACACATAGTTTACGAGACAATAAAGTCTTCCTTCACCTGGATACGAACAACACAGTAATGCAGGATATATTAAAAATTAATCTCGAAATTAATAAACTGTCCAATATTCACGATCGTCGGCTCTTGTTCGAAAGAGGGATCGACTTACACAAGAGATCATTCACAATGCAGCGGGGTCGTCAGTTTTAACTATATGAACATCTGTCCTCAGTTTCGGGTAAACTTTCGGACAGAGTCAACTCCAGCGATGAGAGCAGTAGTCGGTGATGGTGCAGATGCAATATTGTGTCTGCTAGTGTTATCTTCACTTGGGGATTTAATCGCCTTCCTTCTCTCCGCCTGCTTTCTTAACCTTTTGCCAAAATCTACTTGACCAACGTCTTTTACATTTATAATAGATAATAAATAGAAAACCCAGGATTAAAGCGATGCTGATTATTAAAATAGAATAAACCAAATTTGGCCAACTCCCAGTTTGAGATAAAGGATTAATAGATGACGGAGTGCAATTATCACCACTCCAGGCGGTAGCATCGCCCTTCAAATTAGAAGTCACCAGTGTATCCGGATCCCATACCTTTGAGTTTAACTTTGAATCCAAAAGTTAAGTCCGAATTAAAAGAGTTTTTGTTCTCCAACGTCAGAATTTTTAATTGACTTACATGTATTCAGTTTCGGTAAATCTGTTGAAAAGTACAACACAAATCAGTAAATAATTATCTTTAGTGTCCAACCTTTTCTTCATCTGTGAGTATCTTCAAAGGACTGCTATCACCTGTCGTGTTCCTCATTTTCACGAATTGTGATATTCACAGTCAATATTCTTTTAAAACATATACACGGTACTATCCTCTTTTACAATCGCATCCTCGCAGCGAATTGAAGTCAGAATTAGTACAAACACTTATGACGGCCCATTAACACTGGGTCAGACGTTATTCATCGTCCTTGGTATCAGACCAACGTCATATGCCTCAAATTTAGTCCACAATAAACCCCAATGTATGTTTGATTTAGTGTTGCACTTTTGTCAAAATTTATATTACTTCAAAATAAATCTAGTTAGTCAAATTCAAAATTGAAAAATGTGACAATAAATCTGGCGTGAATTTCGTTACCATTTTCTCTTGCCTGTTCATTACAAGATATTGCTTAATATTTTCTCTCTTCTTTTTAATAAACAACATTGATTAGAAGCGAGCTATCACCAGTTACGAGCACTACATATGTACAATAGTATTAAATGCATTCCTTGTGTTTATAAATTCATTTTCAAGATAATGATGATTTTTTTTAATCTCAATCCTTTGAAACAGTCAAATACATAATTTTATTTTTAGTAGAAAGGAATGCACACTGAATGATGAAAGTATTTCTTTGAATAAAATTTCAAAGTTTTCTTTATTTTTAAAACCATTTGCTTTATAAGTCAGAATTATCCTTTAAAAGAACCTAAAACAATAAGCCAAACCTATTATTGAAAATCATTTTTTACGTCAAGACTTGGTCAGGCTACAGATACTTTTGGGTCAGAAAGCTACGTCCTACCTTGCCACATTTTCCCTCCGCGTTCGACATTTTAGTTATACTTGACATGGCTTTAGTCATTGGCATTAACATGGAGATGTCTTTATTCCCGGTCACAAGCATTAAGTTTAATTACAGATTTCAAACCAATAGTCACCCGTTCGAATCCAAATCCTGGTCACGACACCAAATGAACGTCTATAACACAACGACTTTGGATACGGTTATATATATATTTATTAAGTCTCTGTTGCACAATATATAGACGTTTATGCATAT